AATTAGATTATTATCGTTATACCATTCATACCATTCTCTATGATATAACTATAGTAAACAATATTTAATTAATATTTGATTTTATAGTTTGAAACTAAATTTTTTAGGATAGTACCGATAAAATTTGATTATCATTTCGTTAATGCTTTCAGTTATAGTATTTACATGTTAACAACTTACCTGTCAGCCCGATTTTGATCAGCTTCGGCACATTCACTGTCACTCAAATTAGGCTGCATAAATTTAGTAAGTAAAAATTGTGATTGCCCTTCAGCACCATTAACTATTGAACCCCCTGTTGCATTGCTATTTACAGTACCAGCAGCAATCTAAAATAATAATTTAAGTATTTACACATTAACTTGTATAAGGTTTACAATATTTATAAAAATATTTACATCCTTATACTGTAACATTTGAACCTCTCTTGCATTAACCGCGTTTGCTGTCAACTGGGATTGCGGTTGCTGATTTGTTCCAGATGTACTTATGGACCATTCATTTGCACGACAAGAGCTACCACCATTGACACTGTTAGAACCTGTTGAGTTACCAGTCATAATTGCGCTACCAACATTTCCTCCACTAATAACTTCTGCCATAGTGGCATTTGAATTTGAGGCTGAAACTAAAGGATGCGCTCGTCTAGGTAAACGTTCTAATTGCTGACGTGTTGCCTATGCATAAAGAAGAACATTAGTGCCCAAAATAAAAGATAGAAATATATTTTACAATTGCCACCTGCTGACGTTCAAGTTGTATCTGCATCTGTATTTGTTGAAGTTGTGACGATTGAGGCCCACCACGTCGTACTCCTGACAATTGTGATAAAAGTTCAGCAATTGGATCTACCGATTCTCGACCAGAAGGTGATAATGCAGATAAACCACTTGACGAACTGAAGTGCATATTAGACCGACGGGCTCTCTGGCCAACTAAGGTACGTCCCGGTATGCGACGCACTCCGCCTCCGTGACGAATAGCTGATGGTTCATCGTATAACAAAAAGTTAAGGAATACATTTTACCAATGCAAAAACATTAAATACATTAAATACGTAAAAGCATTAAAAACAAAAATACTTAAATATTAAATTAAAATAAATATTTTGTTTTTTAAAAAGGATATTATAAATGAAATTAGTTCTCGTGGTCCAGTTCGATGCTCTAACGTTAAATGACCAGCAAAGTCATCTGTGACTAGATTGGGTTCACCTCCTGGCATGCCAGCACAGACTGGACACACAACTTCCAAACTTGTTTCAGTATGTTCAGCAGTAACATGTTCTAATAGTGTAGCATCGCTATAACCCATTTTTTTACAATAAGGACAAGTGTAACTTTGTGGCTGATCTGAATTAAGCATTTCACCACCAAAAAACAGATCAATATCAGTTCGCGTTAAAATACATTGCATGGGATGATCAACCAAATGATGAGTGGATGTCACACCTTCCTCATAGCAGTCCGCACATAAATCATAGTCATAGCATATCAGGCATTTATAACGACGACCATTAAAGTTGCTTTTGAGACATGAATCACAGCTGACACCTAAAATATAAAATACAAATAAATATTTATTTAAAGTATTTAATACAATTACAATAAAATGGAATTGCAAATATGCAATCAGGTTAGGAAAAAATGTTATTGAAATATTTACCTTCATGACGACTCATTATTCAGAAAACGATTTGATAACCGAAAACTGAATTGGATTTTTGAATCTTTAGTATACAGTTTGATGCCTTAATTGGAATCCAATTTGACTTAGCGATAATTATTGTTCTTTTTAGCTCTTCTAATTAGAATGTCACTTTTGATTTAAATCTTCTGGAAGAGAACTTTGATAAGAAATTTGAAAACATTTTGATTTCGATATTACAATAAGTATATGCCATATGTATGTACATATACATATACATATTTCGTATATTTTATATTTCTAAATAATAAATCAAGTTATTAATTAAGTTATTAATAACAAATCAAGTTAAATCGTATAAGTAGCAATAACACAAAACTTAACCTTACATACAAAGTATATTAAAATTTTTGTAGCCACAGGAAATATTGTTTTACATATAAATTTTTATATATTGATTTTACTTTTATTGCATTATTAAACAATCATATTACATAGTCCCATTATTTGTCATGTCAATTATATACTACCTATCATGTCTTTAATATTTTTATTGTGCACATTTACCTTGGAACTATTTATTTTGCACATTTTCCTGATATTGCGGTTATTTCATTCGTCTTACCTTTTATGCAGCTTCAATCAAAAAAAATAATTATAAAATGGTCACTTTTTTGCGTTTTAAAAATTTATCTAACAAAAATACTGGAATTAATTAAACAAAAGAAAATGTCTTTGTTTTTTGTTTTTTTTCTCGAAAACTTTGCTTCTTTCATTACATTTTACTGCAAAAATTTATTTTTAACTTTTTTTTCGCAAACTTGCTCGTATGTTCGTGTCTGATTCGTGAGTGTTGCTTCTTCTTTAGTTGACGAAAATATGTAAAATAATTAAAAAAAACGCTTATTAGACATTTCAGACACTTGTGTTGTACAATAAATTTAGAAAATATTTCTAATTTGTTTCTACAATTAATACACTTATTTCAAAAATACTAATAATTGTAAGAATAGAACACGATAAAATGACATTTCGAAATATATTGAACGACAAGGGTAGACTACGAAAAGAGATGCATATACTGGTTATAGAATGCACTTCTTTTCGTAATGCATAACGAATCTATAATAACTATTTTAAGAATTTTGGTATAAGCAAAATAATATATATTACTTTCGTATTTAAATAAAAAAATCTGACGTATACATTTATTTACACTATTGTGATTAAATTCTTTGTTTTTTCGCTTGTTAAAATGTTATAAATTTTTTATATCAGGTCAAATTGTGAAAGCATTGTACTATTTTATGCATATAAAATAATACAAATCTGCATGTTTACTTTTAGTCACACTGTATTAACTACATCACTCATGTAATAAATATTTAATCTAGCTTCACTGTTTTTATTCCGTCATCTAACGGATGCCTTGTAACAATCATATTGCTGTTTCTGTTCTTAAAATTATATCAGATGCTTCATTAAAAAACTAAGTAATTCTGGGTCTTACATTTTATATTATTCAAAAATTAATTTTACAGCGACAGAAAAACCGAACAATACAATTAGTCGAGTACTCAATTTAGAGTGATTGGAAATAAATTGCCAGCCGAATTTGCTAAAGCATATATATTCGGCTCATTCATACTTTTACTGACATTTAAGATTTCTCATTTCTACACTTAAGGCATTACCAAATTTAAATTAATTATTAAAATTAAATTAAATTTTGGAGAGATTAAAAAACGATGCACACTCGTTTGGTTCATCTGTGAAACTACCAAAGAATGTGATTTCATATAGGCACTTATTACATATCGTCTATAAAAAATCTTCGCAAAGCTTAACAAAAAAAAAAAGCAGTGAACTATATAAATATTATATTTATTAATAAAAAATTATTAAAAAGAAAATAAAATTGTACTATGGACTCAAAATAATATAGGGAATTGCATATATTGTTTCTATATATACATAAAGAACAAGATTATGTTGAAGTTAATTTGTTTAACGTTTTGGTTTATCCAAGTAACGTTTTGTTTTGTTTCTATTATTGTAAAATGGAGATTTATTTATTAAGCATTTAGGTTCTGTTGTTTAGAACAATATTCTAACTAGAAGTTATGCTTACACCTTTTTGTGTTCATAACACTAACCAGACCAATGAAGATGAAGATGAAGATTGCATGAAGATGTTTCAATTATTTACGACGAAGTAATTATTAAATACATAAATCCTGTCAAATAAGTAAAGTTTATGTATTTATCTACCTATATAATTTATTTATTAATATCAATCAGAAACAAATAATATATCCCATCAGTGCAAATGAGTGATTCTTAAAATATTTTTTGGGAGATGTGCCTGATGTCAAACTCTGTCTGAATTTGATTTATATATTGTGTATATATATGCGTAAATTAATATATTTTAAATATATTAATATTTATTGATTTTAAATTTCTGTAAATTTTATTAAGCTTTAAGCTTAAAAATACTTTATTGTCAAGTAAATAACGTCTAAAAATATAAGCATATATTCGCATTGAACTTACGTTCAGTTTTACTGGGTGTGTCGTTAACAAGTTTTATACTGAATAACTCACAAAATTTTAAAAAATGAATGTGCAAATCAACGTAGACATTCTTACTTCCCTCCTATTGGAATGCAATAGACAATAATTAATATCCAAAGCCCAATTGATGTAATAAAAACCAAACAAATCAAATCTTTCATGGAAATTTTATTAAATATTTCTTACTGCTATTACAAAAACGCATACCCGTCCAAAAATTTTAATTTTACGTTAAATATTCATAACACAGCAACAAATTTGTTTTGTATTATTTATAAATATAATAAATAATTACTTCATTTTAGTTAAGAATTAATGCTTCGGTGCGCATACAAGACAAACTTATTTCATAAGTGTTGTCTATTGCATGTAAGGAGTGGTATACATATGCTGATTAATTTAATTTATTAATTTTATGAAGGCTATTCATTTTTTGTAACATAAATTAAATGATAAAATATATGAGGAATTGAGATAATTTTTAGAAATCAATTTTTTTAATCCAAATCCTCGTTACTGCGTTCAAAATCAAAAGTACTATTTGGTTCCTGAGTTTGAGTATGACTAGTAGAGGTACCACCAGTTGCAGTATTTGTAGCATTAGTTGCGATACCACTTGCACCATTATCAATATTTCTGATACCTGTAGTATCACTCGTTGTATCTCTGCCTAAGGGACGATTGAGATTATTTGTAGCGTTCTCATTACTACCAATTACTTCATTTGGTTCTTCTGCAAGTGATTTACGGCAAATTGGACAAGTACCATGTAAATCTAACCATGGCACAATACAATTTTCATGATACAAATGTGAGCATTGCAATTTGCGTACAGTTTCGCCAAGACGAAAGTCTTCCCAACAAACTGAACATTGTACTTTTTTATCAACTTCATCAGATGTAACTTCATGCTTGGGGATTTCGTTAATTTTTTCTTTTGGTAGAGGTGGTGGACCTGAAGTTTCCATTTGATTGAGTAATTGTGTTACAATCGTATCAATGCCTTCGCGTCCCCAAGCATAATCACCTGGGTTTCCCATAAAAAACATTGGTGAGTTACCGAAAGCTATGTCATCACCAGATATAGTATGCAAAAAGTCGAGTAACACATTATCTAAACGGTCCAAGTTTTGAGCTCGTACTCTGCCACCACCGGTATTTCCACGATTAGCATTGCTATTACTACCGCCGCCTATTGTTATAACATTACCACGTCGATTTCCAGGGTCTATTGATATTTCAACATTAGGGCCGTTACGAGACATTAAAAATGTAGCAATTTCTCCCCGTAAAGCATCTAAACCCGAAAGTTGAGGATTACTAGTCGAAGCATTATTACCGCTGTCTGCGCTAGTGTTGCTGCCACTTGGTTGTGGTGTTGGTGGTAACTCTTCAACGAAACCACCATCGCACAAAGGACATACAAATTCTGTATTGGATACGATATTTATTTCCATATTACATATATGACAATAAAAACGTGGAGCCTGCGTAGGGCGTTCCTCAGCAACCGCCTCAGCCATAGTTGATGAATCGCTTTGTTGAGGCGAATTGTTTTCGTTCGTGTTAGACGACGTTTTGCGTTTTTTCAATTAAAAATTAAAAGAAAAAAATTTTTTAATCAATGTTTGCGGTAAATAATTCCCGGCGTGTATGTTATAATTAAAATGATCAATATTTTTCAATATTTTCATGTGAATATGTCAATATCTAAAAAATATTCATTATCTTATTGATTTTGAAAATATTTAAGTTGTAATTTATGCAAACACTTACAATTAATAATGCTGCTGCTAATTACAACAAAACTTTTGCAAATTCTTTTGATTTCGTATTACTTCAATGCCCGAAGATTGGGTATATTTCAATCATAGCAAACGTCAAATATAATAAACTTTGGCTTGTACTGTATCAGTATTGTACTGTATCACGAAATTAGTGTACTGCCAACTTATTTCAAAAGGGAATTTGAATTATACTAGAATTTACATATTGTAGCCATTTCAATTCTCATATATTTTATAATTCAGTTCAATTTTTTTAACTATTTTGTCATGTTAAAAAAATTGTTTTAATTCAAAAAATAATAAAAAGCAAAAAATGGAAATACAATACAATGCGTATGCAATAATAGATAATAAGCAGAAATATATGTTCAGTTATATTATTTCACTCTTCATTTTAGACTCCACATTTATATATATAAAATTATATGCATGCTATTGTTGATAATTGTTTTAAATACTTACCAATACGTTTTATAACAAAAGTAACATTTAATTCAAAACTTGCTGAGTAACTTAAAATACCTGCAAAAGTATTTTTATGTTAAGTGACGGTTTGGTTTTCTAAATATACGATTTTTGCGATCAGTTAATCACTATATAGTTTTTGTCGATCATATTAGAGTATACATTATATATTTAGGATTTTCCTTTAGTAAAGTTAAATTCACTCCTGATTTAATTTTAATCTGTCAGATTTCAAAGTCTAGAATAATATTTTCTGATTAATTTTTAACAAGGTTAGGTGAGATTGAAAAGACGTATGCTGATAGTTATCTGCACATCCATAAATTATTACATAAATTACCCATTGTGAAGCCCTCAATAATTTTGCCGAGAAATGCGAGTTGCTAACTTTTGTTATCTTTGTGTATTACCCTTGCCAAACCATTTGATTTTCCAGATGAAGTCAAAGAGATCTAATAAGTTTACTTTCATTACTTCTGTCAGACAAGTGAAAAAGCGATCCCCAATACATTGAATTCATCTTGTATGCAGTCCTGGACAGAGACACAAGAAGTGGTTGATAGATTCTACCTCCTTCTCATCTTGATAACTCCTGCATAATCCACATAATCCTGCATAATCCGGTCAGTCCATAAATTATGAGTCACCGTATTGGTGAATTCCTCTATGATCCTAAACAGTTCGCAATTCAGTGTTTGTACAGAGTAGTCGGCCTCCCTTATATGCAATTCAAAGCGATACCACCACTACTCCACTGCATGTGTTATGTGTATCAAAACTTAGAAGATTCAAAATCATTGGACGCCTCTTTTTGCTAACCTTAGAGAATTGTAATCCTTTAATATAGGGGACATAGCCAAGTTTATAGAGATACGAACTTGATTCCCTTTGACTTGTATGATGGTAGTTGCGCATTTTTGAAAGGATGCTGTTCACTTTCTAGATACGTTGAATTCATAAAACTTTTATATTGAACTTTTTAGATAGAATTTTATTAGTTGTCTGTCCTTGTGTAAAAAATATAATCATACCTAAAGGTTTTTAGGAGCATCACGAACCAAAGCAAACATAAAACCAATGTGTCATATTATTTTGAATACATTTTTCAACCAAATTGATCATGTGATTATTGACTATATTAAAATATCGTTCATCCTTGATATTCGTAGCTGTAGAAGTGCGAATGTTGATAGCGATCACTTTCTAGTAAAAGTTAGAATAAGGCAAAGTCTAAAGGACGTACGTAATAATCACGGATCTACAAGAAAAAAGTGGGACGTTGACAAGTCACATCACAGTAAAGCGGCCCAGCAATATAAACAGAAAGTAAACGAATCTCTTGAATGTATCTCGAACCATCCCAATATTAACGAACACTGGAAAACATTTGCAAATTCAATCAGTAATGCAGCAGAAGAACCCATTGGTGTAAAGAGAAATCGCAGATTCAATAATTGGTTCGATATGTCATGTGCTAAGACAAAGATAGAGAACTGTTAGCGGAAAAAAAGGACGTTATCAAAAGATGGTAAGAATATTTTCTAAGTCTTTAACGTCAGTATAAAAAGTGATTATCTATCATTCATAGGTTTAGCTAGAGGAATTTACAGAAGCCGTAGAGAAAATAAAACAGGAAAACACCTGGAGAAGATAGTATATCAGCAAAGCTCATAAAAAGTTGCACAAAAAGCGTCAAAATAGAGGCATTTACTTTACTCAAGCGTGTTTGGGCCGAAGAAAGCCTGCCGGGAGCGTGGCTCACTGGTGTAGTAGTCCCACTACTCAAGAAAGACGACAAACTAGATCGATATGATTGGAAAAGTGATGGTGCAAGGCAGTCTAACAAATGCTTTTAAAATTAAAAATGTAGTGAAACAAGGTGATTCGCTGTCAATCACCATTTTCATCCAAGTGCTTTAAGATGCTATTAAGTACCTTGTGACAAGAAACCTATTCAACAAAACATCACTGACTATTGCCTACACAGATGATATAGCGATCTTAAACAGGTCACTAATTATAGTAGTGACTTATAACACGAGCTAAGTTAGTAGAACTAAATATAACAACAACAAAACTAAATACATGAGGGTTGGAAGAAACACGCATAGCCGAATCTTAAAGCTTATTCATTTGATGAATTCAGTTTTGAAGAAGTTGAAAGCACCAAATACATCGGTCTTCTCATTAATAGCAACAATAACATCAGCGTTTGTATCCGAGACAGAATTGTGTCAGAAGACAAAAGTTATTACGGACACGCGAAAATCTTTAAATCTAAAAGAAACGCCAAACTACACGCTTATAAGGCAATCGTCCATCCGGTATTATTTAATTATTTCACGGGGCCAAAAATAGGACTTTAACGATGGCAAATGAAAATCAAATTACAGCTTTCGAAAGAAAAGTGATGTAAAAGATTTATGGTCCCATCCGCCTGAACCACGAAGAAATTCGTCAGTACACGATCGCAGATCAACTGCAAATTTGTAACACTGACGATCCCGTAAACTTCGTAAAGTCACAGCGCTTCAGATGGATCAGACGCGTCATGAGAATGCCGGATGATAGACCACAAAAGCCAATATTTCATTTCACGCCGTACAACGACTGTAGCAGAGGTAGAGCACGTATAAGATAACTCGATAAAGTAAATTATTTTGGGTATCCAAAATTAGAGGTTTAAAACAATATGCAAAACATAATAAAGAAAGCTGGTTGATAATTTGCAAGGCATTTGCTTACGCTGGAATTGATTTCTTGCAATTACCCAAAATAGGTATTCAACCTGGTCATATTGATTAATTGTAATTAATGTAATTATAAAATTGTTGTATTGCTTACATTGCAAGAATGCAATAATGAAAATTCTTCCGAAAATATAAAATATAATTAAAATAAGCAGACATAATCGCTTTTATTAATATTTTTAAGATTTGTAATAAATTAATAAAAGAGCTAAAAAGATTTATATGAGCTTAGGTAGCGCATGCTTAAAAATAATGAAAATAATGCTTACGACCCTGTTATTATTTTTGGTTAATAGTTTTCAAATTTATTTATTTCTTTATTAAACATATAAAATCTTTACAATTGTAAAACATAATTTACCTAATTTTTTTTTAATTTACCCTACTCGAAATTCTGGTATATTTGCTGCCATACCGACATAATTTACTATTTCCCTCAATTTACCACCAATTTACTTGAACTCGCACACGGCCTACGATAAAATCATAAACAAAAATGACAAATGTCAAAAACATCTTTTGATATTATTAAGGTGTGTTTAACACTTGCGCTGAGTATGTTCAATATTTAATTCTTACAAAATTTAAGGACGTGTGCGAGTTAGGCTAAGTTGATGCTAAACCAAATGGGAAGTTTTTTGGGATTTTTTGCACTGCACACATTTAGCCATTTATCAACACGCATCGACTCATCACTACATTATAGGCACAACTTAAAATTTCCCTCATTTAGAATGCAATTAGGACGTGTGCGAGTTAGGCTAAGTTGCGTTCTAAATGAGGGAAATTCTAAGTTGTGCCGATAATGTAGTGATGTGTCGATGCGTGTTGATAAATGGCTAAATGTGTGCAGTGAAAAACATACCAAAAAATCTCCCATTTGGTTTAGCATCAACTTAGTCTAACTCCCACACGTCCTAAATAGGAGCCTGTGTTTTATTGGCAATATATCTATTGTAAATTATAAGCGTTTTTATAATTGGGTTTTATGATCTTTATTTCAATTTCTTTAACACAATGTAAATTATAAACGTTTTTATAATTGGGTTTTGATTTCATTTAATTTATACAATTGAATTTATACAAGTTCGGTTATTGATTGTTTAATCACTTTTTTATGTGTACCCGTGTGTTGACACGTTCGCGATCGAAAAACAAGAGACAGAATCAAACCAACGGAGTTTACTTGCAGCCCAAAAAATATAACAAAAAAATTGCTCATCTCGAGCGCAAAAACAAAAGGCAATAAAAACAAGACTTAGAACCGTTGGTTTGATTACATCTTATACAGGGTTAGTTAGATAAATTAATTAACCATATATATTAAACATATAAAATATTATATATGAATTATATAATATATTAATTATAATAATTTAATTATACAATATATGATTTAAAATAGATTAAAATATAATAAAATATAATATATAAATCATATAACACATCAATTATAATAATTCTACAGAATCCTACAATATTAACAATTTGACTTTAACCGCTCTAACATCCCGCCCCCCTTGAAAGGATTTTCAATTGGTAATAGTGCGAGTTTGTGGATTGGACGCCGTATTACTCCTTTTGGGGTTTGCACATCAACAACACGAACCAAATTATCTGGATCCCTGATGCAATGCACGATTCGGCCCATCAACCAGCGTTGTGGAGGCATATTGTCTTCATGGATTAAAACCAGAGCCCCCTCGGTGATGTTAGATTGTTCTTCTGTCCATTTGGTGCGTATCTGCAGCTCATTCAGATAGTCTCTAGACCATCTGCGCCAGAAGTGATGTTTGACTGCGGTTATACGAGACCATTTATCAATTAATGAAGCAGATTCATACTGAGGACTTGGTTCAGATAAAGTTTTGAGCGGCCCACCGATAAGAAAATGTGCTGGCGTTAGCGCTTCATAATCGCTCGGGTCACAAGAATGAGGTGTGATTGGTCGCGAATTTAAGATAGCTTCGATTTCAATCAGTGCTGTTCCAAGCTCCTCAAAGGTGAATCGAGTATTTGATAGTGTTCGATACAGAT